GAAAGGAGGAGCTAGTAATGAAGGCTCCGGGCTCCGGACGCCAGATGCAAGCCAACCGTGGTCCGTGGTCACCCTAGTTATGACTCACTGTTTGGGCGACACGTGTCCCTGAGAGGAGCTCTGTCTGCTGGCAACACCCGCACAGACCTGCATTCGTGGACAGTAAGAAGAGGACATCACTTTGTCCACACACTTGCTGGGCGGCTCAGGAAGCAGGTCCCCGGAATGGGCTGGCAGGGAAGGACCAGCCTGGCCACCGTCTCGGACATCACCCCCTCCCAGGCAGGACTGCTGAGCAAAAGCTGGGCGGGAGTTTGCTGGCCCAGCCCGAAGTGACTCAGGGTGGAGGGTTCCCATTGCCTGCCCGTCCACCCTCGCTGGCTCCTCAGAAGTACTGAAGTGTTGAGAAGGGGGGTTTCCTGGACTTCTTTGTCTTCCTTCCTGATTTGTGATGATGGTGGTGAGAGACTTTTCCAAGGAAATCAGCCTCGACGTGTGATCACAACACGTGGCTGTGTATCTGCAGGGGACCCAGGGTGGTCCTCCTGCTCAAGGGTGTGGAACTCGGCCATAGGGTCACATGCGCTGTGGCTCTCAGGACCCGAGCGGTACTGGCCGTTTCTGTGCAAGGAAGCATCACGCCAGCATTGCCTGGGAGCGAAGGCGTCCAGCGGCCAGGCTGCCCCTACCAGATCTTCCCCCTGGCCCTGCCGAGGCCGTGCTTCGCAGGGACTGTCCACAGGGGAAAGAAGACCACATTAAAGATACTGCATGACACACAAAGCGAATGTTTGCTGGTGATGGAAAATGAAATCTCAGGTTCCTGATGCATCCAACATCCAGACCCCCTTCCCCTGAGATCTCTTTAAATGGAGTCGCCCCCTTGTCCCCGACCACCTGGCTCCCGGGGTGGCAGCCCAGGCCCTGCGCCCTCAGCTCCCCCAGCTTCCTGGCACAGCCACCTCGGACGCGGTCACAGCCCTCACGAGGTCCCCTGAGCCCCGGCTCACGCTCCCCGCCAGGCTGGGCTCCTCTGTCCCGCACCGTGCTTGCGGCTGAGAGGGGAAACCCATTACATCCGTCAGCGAAGAAAAGAACCTTCTCTACCGGCCCGCAGTGGCTAGATCCACGAGCTGACTGGGCTTTTAGGTCTCACCCTTGTCTGGGGATGGCGGGGACTTAATAATCTAGAGGCTGTTCTCCTGGAGCAACACCATTTTGTCCCCACACAGAAGCAGAGGCCCCCTCCGGTTCCTGCCAGTGCCCTGTGAACGGAGGCCTGCGGAGGGCATAGCCGCAGCTGAGCAGGCCTGAACCCTCTGTGTTCTTAGGAAAATTGGGAAGAGGGGCAAGAGGCAGGTCAGAGCCCCCGAGGGACAGAGCCTTGTTCTGGAGGAAGTCTGTGTCCACCAGGCAAGGAGAAGCTGGCCTCGTCCTCCGCCCTGGGGTCCCCACGCTGAGTCCTTCCCACCCAGCTGCCTACTGTGTTCAATGACTTCTCCATCCGCCCTGACATCGCCCCAGACTCTCCTGTGAGAAGCCTCGGGGGAGCCCCGGAGGGCAGGGCGGTGTGCCGTCAGCTTCCGGGACGAGCCGAAGTGAGAGTCCTTACCAAAAAGGGAGTGGGGTCGCTGCTGCCTTTCCCGTCTTATAGGCCAAGGACAGAGCCGCGACGCAGCCCAGGGGTGCAAACCCAGATCCCTCCGGCACATGGATGTGACCACAACCTGCTTAGTACCCACGTGCCCCCGTACCCACTGCCCGTGAGCCGCGGCTCTCCTTCCTGCCGGGCAGAGGTCGTCACCCTAGCCTCCGGGTTCACCTCGGTCTGAAGATCCGACGACATGGTTGGGGGAGAGCTGAAACCATAAACTTCCGAGATCTCTGGTTCCCAGCGGCCCGCCGGGGGTGGGCGAAGGGGGCAGGACGGGTGCCTGCGCTCACGGGGCTCCAACCACCGCCATGTGACCTGGCGAGGGCAGGACAGGCTGGAAGGGCGGCTTCCCGAGGAGGGGCCCCTGATTAGAGTGCTGCGTGCTGGGCGGGGGGAAGGGCGGGACCTCAGAGACCGCCAGCAGCAGTGACGGAGCAGGTGGAGGCCGCCGTCTTGTTAGAGGGGCCTCAGGCATGAGGAGGGGTCTCCAGCCACCTCGGTGTGGCCCACGGCTCTGCCCACAAACAGAGGGGCCCTGCAGAGGGTTTTAAGCGGGCGCCAGAAGGGTCACGTGTACATGTTAACCCTGCCTGTGGTGTAGCTCCGAGGTTCAGAAAGGAGCCACATCGGAATCACTGCAGGGTCCGGTTCTGGGGCAGACAGGGGTTGATGGCCTCTGGGCGTTTGCTTTTGGACACGTTCCTGAGGGATGATGTCACTGCCGCTCTGGGGGTTGTACCGGGAGAACCACTGGTACACAGCACAGCATCGTGACCCCACGTGGACCAGAGCACGCGTCTCTGCAGGAGGGGGAACCAAGGCAGGAAGCCGGACTGGGAATCCGAGGCTGGGAAGACCCTGGAGCCTAGACCCAGACGCCCCGTGTAGACCCTCTGTGTAGTTCCAGAAGCCACTTCTAATGAAAATGAATTTATTTTTTAAATATTTTATTTATTTATTTATTTGAGAGAGAACGAGTGAGAGAGAGCATGAGAGAGGAGAAGGTCGGCGGGAGAAGCAGACTCCCCGTGGGGCTGGGAGCCTGATGCGGGACTCCATCCTGGAAGTCCGGGATCATGACCTGAGCCGAAGGCGGTCGCTCAACCAACTGAGCTACCCAGGCGCCCATGAATTTATTTTTTAAAGATTTTATTTATTTATTAGAGAGCTAGAGAGAGAGCACAAGTCGGCAGAGCGGCCGGCAGAGAAGAGGGAGAAGCAGACTCTCCCTTGATCAGGGAGCCTGATGCAGGGCTCGATCCCAGGACCCCGGGATCGTGACCTGAACCGAAGGCAGAGGCTTCACCCACTGAGCTACCCAGGCACCCCCTAATGAAAATCAATTTAAAGTTGCATCAAAGATGGACATTTCCACACAGTTCTAGGGCCCATGTTCTAAACATGAATCCTTACTCTTCAGTTCTGTCCCCACCGGCAGCGACACAGGTCGGCTGTACACAGAAACCCCAGAAGTTGTTCGTCCGTGTCCTCGAGCAGAGCCCCAGACTGTGTCCTTGTGATTCGCCTCGTTCCCTTAGAAGTTGCCTGGGAGAAGTGTCCAACCTGTTCTGCACAGCGTGTCACCCTGTGGCCGTTAGCCTTGGTTCTGGGTTGCTCAGCCCTGGGGCTGTCCTGCGTTCTGTTCTGGTGAGACTTCCCGGAGCTGCGCACCTCTGAGGCCTCGAGCTTGTCCCGGACTGTGTTCGGGCAAGAAGCCCTTAACAGAGGCAATTTGCAAATAAGCAGACCGAACCTTCTAAATGACTGAGCACATGAGAAATGTGAAATCTAAACCACTTTAAGCAAAGTAATACAGATTAAAATGTGGATATTCTTTTTTTTTTTAAGTGGACGCAGAAAAAACGTCCTAATTCATACTCTCTCAATTTCCAATTCACGCGTTGTGTCCTGGGGTAGTCAGTCCAGGGGTGAAAATGTGCCTGCGAGCTCCTCGTGGGTGGGACCCTTCTCTTACTCTCCCTGTTCCCAAGGCACCTCGCTCAGTGTCTGGTTCCCAGCAAATGCCCGGTACCTGTGCCGAGCAGGGTGAATTAAATTAATGGCAATGCCAACTGTGTTCAGCAAGAAATAAAAATCTTCTGTAAGAAATTGGAGGTAAAACAATTCCCAGCACAAACCACTCGAAAATGCTAAATCAAGTGTAACCGTGTTGCTTGAAAATGCACAGCTGAGATTTCAAGAAAGTAAAGAATCGCAGGCACATTGCCGAGCACCGGTGCAGTCCGCAGGGGCGGCTGGTTCCCGGGGCAGCAGCTGGAGCATCTGGAAGAGCTGGGGTGAGCCGCGCGCAGGTGTGGGTGGCGGCAGGCGGCTGGAGCGGAGAGCTGGACCGAACGTCTGACCGTGGAAGTGACGGGGAAAGTCTTCTTACCCGGCTTCGCTTTCCAGGAGGAAGATCCGAAGGGCGCGCCCTCCTGCAGGCCAGGTTCCCCATCTGGGTCTTTGAGAGGCTATACCAATTTCATTTTCTCATTAAATATTAACGAGAAACTCATTTTTCCCAAACTTTGCAGTTTACTTCTGAAATACGTCATTACCCATATTGAGTCTTCAATAATAAGGGTAATAAGGAGACAGAAACTCTCCTCCAAGGGCATCACCTTGGTGTAAAGAACAACACTGGGGCTGGACGGGGTGTGCAGACCAGCCTGCTGGGTAGCGGCCCGCGGGTGCCCCACGAAGCTCCAGAAGCAGGCCTGTCCCTCCTGCCTCGGCCTGGACCTGGGTTTGCTCGATGACCCCAGGGCAGGGGATCAGCTTGGTGCCTCCCTAGAGGGCACCATCCCCTCTGTGGGGTTTATACTAAGCTGGTGTGAACAGGGCTATCGAGAATTCAGGGCCAGTGCGGAACGTCCACTGGGTCCACACTCCTGGGCCAGTGCAGCATAAACCTGGGTAGGTCAGGACATACTTGCAAAACCAGCCCCCTGTGGTTTCTGGGGCTCTCTCATGGGAAGCACCCCCCAACCCCTGTCTGGTATCAGCTTATTTTAAAAAATATTTTTTAGAACAATTTCAGCTTATTTTTAAAGAGCCTCCCATAATGAACTTGACATCGGCAGTTTCTCTCAGATTTGTGATGTGTGATCAGACGGCAAAGTGGGGGACCCTCAGACCACCCCCTCCCTGCTCCACAAAAAGTCACTCAGAATGAATTTTAGGGAAATAGGCAGGCATTTAAAGAGGTGAATAAAGTGTTTGGGTTCAGAGTGGAGGTGGGCTGGTGCTGTCTGGCGTGCCCTGGGCCGGGCAGCGAGGGCCCCGCGTCAGGCGGCATCACTCCGGCCCAGGCTGACCGCCAGCATCTCTCCGTGCCTCTTCACAGATGACGTTCTACGTTCTGGTGAAAGCCATTTACACGCTGGGCTACAGTGTCTCTCTGATTTCCCTTTCCACCGGAAGCCTCATTCTTTGCCTCTTCCGGTAAGTATCAGAAATGAGCAATTCTGCTGTCTGAGACCAGAAATTGTTCAAGCCAGGTAGGCCCATCAGGGGAGGAAAGAGGTTCACTGTCTCCAAGCCGGCTCTCTCTCTGTTACACCTGGAAAACTCCCTTGGAGAATCCCGCGTGCTAATATTTACACTTCTGTTTACATAGTCCGCATTTCTTATATAAAGGGACAAGGCCGGCTTTGGATACGAATTCAGTTCAACTGCTGCTACTGAGTACCCAGCCGTTGCGCAAATCCTTTGGAAATACAGAAGCACGTGAGCCTGCCCTCGCCATCCAGCAAGTGGGGGAAATGCTCCTATGCTTTGGGCGTCATTTCCTGACGGCTCTGAATCAAAAGTCAAAGTCAAAACAAATATCAGTTAGGTGTTCTGCAGAGCAGAATTTAAGTGGAACAAGGGAATTAGAAACAAAATGTTCTGAGCACTTTTTAGAGAAGCAAGATACCACATGAAGTGAAGTTCAAAGGCAGGTCATTTGACACGGGTCTTGCAGGAAATTTGCTGCAAAGATGTTCTCTTCACATCTGCGAAGTGGGCACAGGCCGTCGCAGCCCTGTTTGCTTACACTCTTACTCTGAAGTCTCCGGGACAGCCTCAGGAGATGGAAATAAAGGAACAAGTTTTACCTACAGAAACAGTTACCATAATACAAAACTGAAAACATCCTAAACATTCAGTAAAGAATAGTAACTTCCATAAAAACGGAAGAAGCCTTAAGATTAAATCTGATTATTAAAGTGTTCATTGCTCCCTCCACCCCACCCCACCTCACCCCATCCCTTCCCTCACCCCTCACCCCTGCCCATCTCCACCGCAGGAAGCTGCACTGCACCCGGAACTACATCCACCTGAACCTGTTTGTCTCCTTCATCCTCCGAGCCGTCTCCGTGTTGGTCAAGGACGGTGTGCTGTACTCCAGCTCGGGCACAGGGCACTGCCCCGACCAGCCGTCCTCCTGGGTAAGGCTGCCACTGGGACCGGGGTCCTCGCACGGAGGGGATGGTGGCTGGTGTGAACTGCAGCCCCACAGACCTCCATCCTCGCCACCCGGGCCCTTTGTCTCTCCCCACCTGACACTGGGATGAAGTCTCACAGCTCGTGCTCGGGGCTAACGGCAAGGGTCAGGCTGAGCAGCATAGGGGCTGCCCGAGGGGCTGGGGCTCAGAGCAGGCCCAGGTTGGCAGGTGAGACTGGGATGTGTCCCAGGCACCTTCCTGGGCTGGGAGGTCGTGGGCCGCAAGCGCTCACCCCCAAGCAGAGCCGGGAAAACACGAGGGCGCCTCCCCCACGGGATCCACGGCGGCAGCTCTGGGCTGGAAAACCCAACGTAGGTGGAGAGGCACAGTGTCAGTGTCTTCACCCCGCATCTCCCAGATGCAAGAAAGAGAAGCACCCGTGGACTGTTGGAGGGAAAGTTCCCATGGGGAGCATGAGCCCCCCGCACCCCCACCGGGAGCCCCGTGGCCTGTCTGTGACCACGCTGGGCCCAGCTGTCTGCCATGAGGAGGAACATGCTAGTTACTTCTATGGCTGTGCACTCCTATGCCAGGCTCCCACCCAGGCTGCGCTGGTGCTGAGCGTGGGCCTGCGGTGCTGGGCTGGGCTGCACGCTGACCGCGCCCCTCTGATACGGGAGTCCATCTGAGTCCTTCCTAGGGCTGCCTCGGGACCTCTGGCAGGCACCCGGGCTCCGGGCCATCCGGCGGTCAGTGTGACCGCAGCTTCCTGGGCAGCCCTCGCTGCATGAGGAGCCAGGACGCTGGCCACTGTCCTCTCAGGCTCCGGGCAGCTGGATCTGTCTACTGGCGCTGTTGCCCGGGACGGAACAGACTTGAGTTAATTCAGTTTTCAGATAGGAAAGCCTTCTAGAACACCGCAGAACACCAGCGTTTCGCAGGCCTGCCGGTAAATAGATTTCTGGGGACAATCTGCTCATGACATACTCGGACTGAGTCAATCAGCAGAGTTTGTCCTAATAAAAGTAACACAAGACCCTTCACCCGGCAGACCCCCAGCCCACGTGGGAGTCAGAGTCCCTGGGGTTCTTGCCCCACAATGGAGTCTCTGACGTGGGCGACAGGCATGAGCCCCAGTGCCACTCTGGGTTCTTCTTTTGTTGAGAAGCCTCCTTTCCCTTCTCCAGGGATCTCAAATCTCTGCTCAAAGGAGCCCCCCTTCCTGAGCTTCTTATTAAGGGCCTAGTGAGCCTAGTGGGCTACAGACCCCCACCATCCAACCCCGCCACGGCCACCCGGCACCACCAGCCCCTATGCTGAAGGTCACTGACCCCCCTGCCCACCTGGGGTTGGGGCTTCACCTCCCTACTTCTCGACAGCCTTCCAGTGCCAGGCTGGATGCTGCTGGGGAGGCCCTGTGATTCAGAAGAGCCTCTGGCCCATTTGTGCAGGAGGACGCAGGGCTCCTGGGTTGGATGGGGCTGCGGTCAGCACACAGACAGCAAGTGTCCCACACACCCTGGCACTGAAGTTGTCCAAGGATTCAGGACTAAGGACTGAGGTGTGAGAAGCAGGGAGCAGGTGCAGAGTCCCCCTGCCCAGTTCCCAGAGGGGTCTCCAGAGGGCTGCACCCCTCCATCAGGATGTCACCAGGATGTGCACCAACAGAGGAAGGAAGGGTGGGGGACAGAAGGCAGGAGAAAAGGAAGGAGGAAAGGAGGGGACTGGGTCTTCCCTCTTCTTGTCCCCAGAGAAGGCAAGGTTTGGAGTAAGTTAGTCAGAGATACAGGCAGACCTCAGCATGAGGACCAGAGAAAACCTCTTTTCTTGCAGTTGCATTTTTTGGACATTTTGGTTCTCAGCTGGGTACCAAACCAACATTATTCTCACAAGCAGAACCGTGGGGGCATCTCCCCCAAGTAGGCTGAAGGGTCTGTTTCTCAAGATATTTGGAAGAGCCGAGCACACGGCAGAGTCTATTTCCTTCCAAGAGGAGGCTTCCCCTCCCACGGGCCCACTCTCCCCACGTACCCTGAACACAGCACTGAGCCCTGGGCTCAGTGTGTCTCCTCCTGGCTGTCCCGGGGTCGGGGGGCTGCAACCCCAGCAGCTAATTCTCACTGAGACCAGAACGATCGACATGTGTGGTCGATGGGGACTCTGAGAAACCTAGCTTCGGGCTTTCCGAGGTGCTCCCCGTGAGCCTGAGCCCCCGGGAGGGGTCAGGTGGGGTATCCGTGGTGGAGGCCGTGGCCCAGCACATGGCTCTGATGTCACATGTGGAACCGCCGCACCGATGACAGGCACCACAACTTCCCGCAACACGAGTCTCTGCTCATGTTCTGGCTTCTGTCCGACGGGACGCCACCATGCAGGCTGCCTCGAAAGGTTCTGTGCTCTACAGTTGCGATGCAGGTGACTGCACAGCTCTCCCGAAAGTCGGAACAGCTGTGGGCTGTGTGCCTGCCGCGGCTTCCCTGGCATCCCAGGGTCGGTGGGCTCCGAGCACCTCCCCCCACACCCCGAGCACACACCCGCGTCCCGGTGAGTGGCCCTCAGTGAGTCCCAGGCTCACCGCGGCTGGTTCTCACCGCGGCTGGTTTTCCTGTTCCCACAGTGCGTCGTTAGTGCATCTGTCCACTTAGGGTGCGGGGGCATGACGTTCGGGGGGACCTACGTGCCAGCCCCGCTCCCGGCCCCTCGGGCCTCGGGCACTCAGCCTCAGGAAGCAGGAAGTGGCAGTTGCAGCCCCGCAGACAGTGGGGCTTGTCGCACTGAGGACAGAGAGAGCTGGGACGAGGTCGGGGTGGGAGCACGGTGAGCGCGGGAGGCAGGGGGCTGGTGCCACAGGTCGCCTGGCGGAAGCTCCTGGAGGCCCCGGGAGCCAGCTTGGAAGGGCTGCCGTGACTTTCCCGTCAGCACCAGCACCCCCAGACATGCACGTCGGTATATCCACGCACGCGTGTATAAAAGCACACATGCATACACACGTGTGTGCAGACACCACATACAAGGTGCGCACCTGTGCAGACGGACAGGACTCCTCCTCGTGTGGAAGTGTGTCCGCAGACACGCTCACGTGTCCATATGAAGAGACACCCACGTACGTAAAGTTGCCTCTCTCCGCGAGGGAGTGTGTGTGGACGTCTGCCTGTACACGTATGTAGTTTGTACGTACACGTATGTCGTGTCGGAGGGCAGCAAAGCTGCAGGAGAGAAAAGAAGTCCTGTTCTTCAGCACACGTTCGCAAACTTGCTGGTTAAAATCCTCAATTTCATGTTTTTTCAAGAGGCTGAAACAGCTGTGGGACTCTACGAAAGTCTGCGGAGTCGGTCTCACAGACCGCCTGGTTCCTCCCAGGAAGAACTCTCAAGATGCCGGGAACATAGCGTGCTCGAGGGACTCTCTCATTCTGCCCTTTGTTGTTCTGCCTCTTGCTGAGTGGGTGACGAGGACAAACAGAGGAGGGCGAGGGGGTGGGCAGAGGATGAGGACCGGACGTGCAGCGGCAGGGGGAGGGCAGGCGGGCAGGCTAACCGCCGCGACCCCACAGCCCACTGCTGTCCGAGCGGCCGTGTGCATCTCCTTCCGCCCGTGTTTATCCTCCAGTGAGTTCTGCCCCAGGGCTGTGGCTGCCAAGGGCCTCGCGTGAGCACAGTGCCCGACACCGCTGTTCGGTACCCTCGGGTCCTTCCACAGACGCACGCGCGCCTTCCGTCCTAGAGCTCCTCCGCCCGCCGTGAACTGTTGTGTCCAACGGGGTCCGTGCTCTCTGTCTCTGTCCTGACATTCCAGGTCGCCTGCAAGCTGAGCCTGGTGTTTTTCCAGTACTGCATCATGGCGAACTTCTACTGGCTCCTGGTGGAGGGACTGTACCTCCACACCCTCCTGGTGGCCATATTCTCCCCCAGCCGGCGTTTCGTGGCCTACCTCCTGATTGGATGGGGTAAGGACTGTTTCCCCCGTGCACGCCCGATGCCCCAGCAGCCACCTGCCAACGCTCCAGGTGCCTAATTTCCACTGCTCTCACCTAGAAATGCAGACCTTTTAGCTCAGAAAAACCCTTTGCTGCCCCATAGGATGACCTTCTGGTTAGATTAGGAAGAGTCTTCCTAGCACGACTAGTTTCCTGGAGGCAGCACCCTCATATTTCTAGGAACCAGGAACCTAGTTTAAAACTGCTATAAACTTCCTGGGGCACATCCTGTGCTGGAAAGTCAGAAAGAAGTGCCGTGGAGGAGAAGGGCAGGGAGCCCTTCTCACAGGAGGTCCTGGCAACCCACCAGTTAGCAGGACCTTCACTGGCCAGAATTGGAAAGGGCATAAGCAGTGGTCCCCCCAGGCGCACGGTGAGAGGCACCCTTGCCGTCATTGCTCCCACACTCCAGCAGCAACACTTAGGATGCACGGCAAAGCTTTGCCGGCCTGTGGGGCTTCAGGTTGCAAACCCACATGTATCATCACTGCTTTGTAATGAGCATAAACGTCTGTGCGTTTATGAAGCATTTCCACTTGACCCTTCCATCAGAAAGCCCTCATTCTTGCTGCCCCTGGTGGATGAGGGTGCACTCTTCTGTCCCTGTGGGCGGTCCCTGTTAGCTCGCGTGGGCTTGTGGATAACCAGGTGACTTTGGTTTATGGCAGGCATCCCCACCGTCTGCATAGCTGCATGGACGGCAGCCAGGCTCTCCTTAGAAGACACAGGGTGAGTGCTCTGTCCAGCCTCTGCCCGTAAAATGAGATGGACCAGTCCTGGCCAAGTTGCCGGCATCGTTAAGTTTTCGGAAACTAGAAAGAAGCTCGCTCTCTGGGTGGAAGGAGGATTTGCATTTGTGGCTACAGCCGAGCGAAGAGCTACACAGGCAGTATTTGAGCACCCCGTGTATGAGAAACCCTCAGACCTCATGACGGTTTGCTGGGGCGACCGTACTTGGAGAAGATCCGTGTGAGGGATGGGCATTGAACCAGGTCCTACAGCAGAGCTGGGATTGGGATGAGCCAGGCAGAGGTGGGAGCAGCATCTTAGGTAGAGGAAGCAGTGTTCACAAACGGAACCGAGCAGAACGCACGCACTGTCTGCCTGGGGCCAAGTGTGGAGAAGTGACCGCTGAAGACGAGGTTAAAATGGCCAGCAGGAGTGCAGCTCTCTGAGATAGTACTCTAAAACGCAACAGAGCAGGGTCTGAAGTTCTGTTTTCTGTTTTTAATCAACCCAGTGTACAGCTGCGTCAGGGCCCCAGACTCAGGCACCAAGATCAGGGCCCCAGACTCAGGCACCAGGATCAGGGCCCCAGACACAGGCACCAAGATCAGGGCCCCAGACTCAGGCACCAGGATCAGGGCCCCAGAATCAGTCACCAGGCTCCCACCATGAATGTTGTGCCTCATGAAGGGCTCTCCGGGTCTACCAGTTCTCTACTAGTGGTAACAAACCACCCTAAAACTCAGCGGCTTACATAATTGCAGTTTCTAGGGTGTGTTCCTGTGCCCTGGCAGCTTGGACAGACTCACGTGGCCTTCTTCTGGCCGCTGCCTGGCTTGCTCACACACTGGGCACCTGCTGGGTTGGCCGAGGGCTGGCGGGGCTGGGACAGCACCAGCTGGCAGGCTCCCTTCTGTCCTGCTGGTTCCAAGCGCTCCACGTCCTATTGCCAAAACCAGCGAGGACTGTGAGGCGAGGGCTGATCTCTGCCCTTGCTGGGAGGGGCTGCAGAGCCCCACTGGGGGTGGGGGTAACGGAGGGAACGATGGAGACGTTGCAAGCACCCTCCCCCAGCTTGCTACTGGAGACAGCCCTTACGCTGGGAACCGGAGTGAAAACATTGCTGGACAGACATTCCTAGCTGTGCCTGCCTCAGTTACTCCAAAGACATTTTAAACCTTCATTCAAGACACAAACACAAACCATTCAGGAGGGGAGAAGAAATTAATTTTCAGGAGAAAAACTCCCCTTTGTCGGATGCTGGCCAGAGTGAGCATGAGATCCCCCAGCTCCCTAGTTAGGGGCCTTCCGTGGGGCTTGGTCTCCCCGTTGACCTGCCCGCGGGAGTTCTGCTCTGGCTTCACGTTAGCAGACTTCTGTGTCAGGAAGAGTGAGGTCACTGGCCAGGGACGATTGCAGCCAGGTCTGTACGTGCGGAGCAGCTCTGCTCTCACAGCAGCCACCTGCCCGTCCCGGTCCCGCGTGCGCCATCCCGCAGAGGGGCCTCGGAACATACCAGGCCCAGAGGCCCGCGTGGCTGGAGGGCCAGCCCGGTTTGGCCAGCCCTGCATAAGGGGCACGTCCACAGGCAGTGCGTGGACCCTCCTGCCCTTGCTTTGTGCGTGAATCGGGGGTGACGTGATTTTCCTTCTCTCTTTTCTCTAGTTGCTGGGATACCAATGACCACAGTGTTCCCTGGTGGGTTATACGAACACCAATTTTGATATCTATTATAGTAAGTAATTTCTGTATGGAAACGTGAGCTATCCATTGGGTTGCACGCTTGGGCAGAGAAGAAGCCCACGTCGCTGTTTTACATAAGAATAGCCTCGTCCCACTTGGCCTCGTGAGAGACACAGGGGCCCAGCTCCTTCCGTCTGCCCTGGACTCAGTCCCCCTCCGGGAGGAAGGCTCAGTGAAGGGGGAGAGAGTGGGGAGAGAGAGGCAAGCTCTCCAGAGGGGGGGCGGGAAGGAACCCTGCAGGGAGTCGGGGCCAGCCCTGCACCCATCTGGAGCTGAGTCACGTTGTCCCCCTCCCCTCTCAGGACTGACGCCCCCGGGAGACCCAGTCCGCTGCAGCCGCTGCCACCAGCTGGGCAGGGCAGAGGGGAGGAGAGCCGGTTCTGCGGGGCTGAGCGGCAGACAACCTGGCCACACCCACCTCCCCACAGGGAGCTCACGCACACATGTGGTCTCTCTTTGTGCAGGTCAACTTTGTCCTTTTTGTTAGCATTATACGGATTTTACTACAGAAGCTGACGTCCCCAGATGTCGGTGGCACTGACCCGTCACAGTACAAGTGAGTATGTGTGTGGGTCCCAGAGCCCAGCTGCCCTCACAACCACCCGTGGCCTGGAAACCCAGAGTCGGGGAGGACATGCCTCTGTGCACTCAGCGAAGGCCCGAGTTCACCCCTGTGGGTGCGGGACTGTGCTTGTGGCTGGGGTGGCGGTGTCTTCTCCCAGGCGGGTGACAGTGGCTCCAGTCGAGCCCTCCCCTTGTTTCAGCACCAACACCCTCTAGGGCTCACGGAAGCCCTCTGCCCGCTTTCCTGTTTCGTAATCTGACTTTTTCTCCTCGACCACTCATTCTCTGTATTTCATGCTTGACTCTTTGTTCCCCATCAGACCACAGGTTTCCTGCCGGCATCTAAGGCCAGGCCTCGTACTGAATAATAATTCGTGGTTTATTGGCCGAATGATTACATGATGGTTTTCATCATGTCCGTTCAATGGGAAAGAGATCAGAGATCAAGTACACACCACAGTCATCTGGCTAATTAATGAGGACCTGGAGACTCGATAAAAGAACGTAAAGATTCTATAAATTTCTGTCCAGAACTTACAAAGAAAACGCCCACAACTTATTATCAAGTAGAACTAGCTCAGCACGGGGTGGCTGGTCCAGCCAGTGGGGGCCCCAGACTCAGACAGCTGGAATCACAGCCGCCTGGAGCTGTGCGACCCTGGGCCGGTGACATGACGACAGCCAGGGGTGTGCCTGGCAGTGGGACGGGCAGCATCATTGGTGGCCAGGGGCCCTGTGCTGGGCTGAGACACCAGCTGCAGGCTGGGGGGATGTGACCTCACTGCTCTGGGCCTCAGTGTCCTCATCTATAACGTGGAAATAATGATCATGATTTCTAAGGAGGGTAAATACAGTTAGTACTGGAAAGACATTTAGTGCCGGCACCATTAAGTGTTGTGGGGAAATCGGTGCACAGATCCTTCTGGCCATGCCCTAGGCTACATACAACCCAAGGCATCCTTTTCTCTGCCCGGTCGATTCAAGGCAGCTACACAGAAGGCCAGACCTAGAGATGGGATTCCACATCAGACCACAAAGGACAAAGCCATGCCGTCCCATGCAAGCCCGCCCGCACCCGCGGCAGGGACAGGACAGCTCTCAGTTGCTCTTCGAACTCAGTTTTGATTTTCAGCTGGTCTTGTTTGGCTTCTGTGCTGACCTTTTCTTTGGGGTCTCTGGGAGTGTCCATTCAGTACGTCTTAGAGATACATGTTTTTATTTTAGAAACAAAATTAAGTAGGAAAATATAATCTCTTCTTTTCCCAGGATGACAAAAGAAACAGAGCATGTCTGCAATGTTGACCTCTGATTGTATCTTGATGTCTTTTCTCTGGAACTATCTTTATAACAGTAACAAACGCCCCCGAACAGGGTCCCAGAGGTCCAGCCTCGCTAGAAATCTGTCTCCAGAAATGAACATGATAATGATTCCAGATGTACCTAAGGGAATTCAGGCAGACTCTGTGCCTCACACTGAACTGAAGGGCACAGCTCCCTACACAGCTGCCTTCTGCTCACCAGCCTAGTGCTGAAACAGGATGAAATGCAGCGACCTTGTGAGGTTAGATGTTTGTGTCTGCAAGGAGACAGCGGTGTGACACTCACGATGGGCCTTCCTTGCCGACAGGGCTGGACCATGTCCTGCCACACAGCGACCCGGGCTTCTGGGGTTTGCATGGACGGCCTGAAGCAGGGACTTCCCACTTGTAAACACCACAGGACATGGTTCGTTTGTGAGGGAAATCAAGAGAAATGGACACATTTCTAGAACTTACATCCCAGGCTCTGAGCGCTAGGTTCGAGGTCAGTGCCTCAAAAATATGTTAAGAAGTTCGTGACTTTTTCTAAGCATTGGGTTAGGGCCAAGGAAGAGGAAAAGGTGGGGGAGGGGCAGAGTGGAGCCTTCTCGCTGGGTTCCTTCTGGATCAGGCCGCCGGGTCCCTGCAGAGGCTACCGGATGTTCATTTAGGGGCCTTGGTATGCACACACATCACCGGGTGGCCTGACTTGGCCTGGGGCCAAGCTCCTCCCTGATGTGCTCCCCGGGGACCCCAGTGCCCCTGACAAGCCCCCGGGGACCCCAGTGCTCCTGTCCATGCTGGAGCTGCAAGGATGAAATCTGGCCACAGGCCAGAATGACCCAGGAGGCTGTTAGAGTGACCAGCACCGGTCCCACCGCGGGGACCTGGTTTAGTTGCAGTGAGGAGGTAGGCTGGACTGAGGAATCTAGAAAGTTCCACGGATGGCTCTCACACGAAGCAGGAGAGGCCCCAGCTCAGAGCAGTGACTCTCCAGGTGGGATCCAGACAGCAGAGGCAGCATCTCTAGGAACCTGAGAGCCAGCAGCGCAAAGGTGGGGCCAGCGACCGGCCTTCGAACGTGACCCCCAGGCAGTCCTGGTGCCGCTCCAGCGTAGAGAACGGAGACTGGGTTTGCCAGGGCATGGGGAGAGCAGCTAAAAGAAAGGGGGCCGTGAGCTCGGTGGTCTTTCTTCCAGGCGTAGAACCCAGCGAGCAGGAAGCTGCATTTCGATCAGGGAGGGCAGTGACTCCCCGATGGACAGAACAGTTATATCGGGTCCAGGTCAACCAACCCCACCGAGCTCGGGGCACCCAGACCCCGGGGCGCCCGTCCCGCTGCCACACTGTGCTCGGGGGGCTGCCCCCCTGCTGATTCTGCTCCTGTGAACAGAGTCAGACTTGACTGCCAGTGCTGGGAAGCTGCCCTCAGACGGAGTCCTTGCTGGGGGCCCGGCAGGAGGTCTCGGAGGTCCTGTTTGTCACCGCGCCGGCACGTTCTGCCCGCGGCTGGCGGGGGGAGGCTGGTTTTACTCGGTCTGTGAGCAGCAGGGCTCTGCGGGTGAGGCCCTGGCCCTGGGCCAGCGAGCGCCACCCCCCCCCCCCCCCCCCCCCGGGGCCCGGGGCCGCCCCCCCCCCCCCCGCCACTCCCGGAGCCCAGGGCCGGCCCCGCGCTCAGCGTCTGTCTGTCCCGCAGGAGGCTCGCCAAGTCCACGCTGCTGCTCATCCCGCTGTTCGGAGCCCACTACATGGTGTTTGCCGTGTTTCCTATCGGCGTCTCCTCCAAGTATCAGATTCTGTTTGAGCTGTGCATGGGATCATTTCAGGTGCGCGTGGGAAGGGACGGTTCCTCCTCCGCGCGTCGGGGCGCGGCTCTGACAGTCCTTTCTCACTTGCAGGGCCTGGTGGTGGCTGTTCTATACTGCTTTCTCAACAGCGAAGTAAGTGTTCGTCACAGCTCGGGGGACGCGTGTGGGTTCCCTGACGCGCCCCGCGACCTGCAGGAGAGCTCAGGTCTTCTGTCCTGGCAGCCCCATTCACTGAGCCTGTCTCCCCACACCAGGCCAGCCTCCCACAGGCCGGCTCGAGAAAGCTCCCCAGCTGGCGGGTGGAGAGGGATCCTGCCCTCTGCGTGGCCCCGGCCTTACTCCTTGACCCCAGATATCGGGCCACACAGACCCCCATGGGGAGGGGCGGGCCCAGGGATGGGAGCCCTGCTCTCTGAGCTCCCTGCCCACAGCCAGTGAGGATGCACGTGCGTGAGTCCCCCAGAGCAGAGCCCTGGTCTGCTTGTTCCCATGTGCCTTCCCCTGCCAGGCCTCATGTGGCCGCCAGCCCCCAGGCTTCCAGCCCTGCACCCCTCTCTCCCTCAGCTCAAATGCCCTCCGGGAGCCTGCTCCCCTTCCGCTGCTCTGGGGGGCCCCCGAGTCCTGACCCCACCTGGCTCCAAGCACCCTTGCCTGCTGCTGCCCATCCTCCCTCCTGCTGGCTCTGGCCACCTGGCCGGCCGCATCTTCCGTACCGCGGCTCCCCCGGAGCAGGGCCGCGGCGGCGCTGGCTGCCCCCGGGCGTGTGTCGGCTCCCACGTCCGCCTGACCCCCGCTTCCTCGTTGCCTCATCCTCGCCCAGGTGCAGAGCGAGTTGAAAAGGAAGTGGCGCGGCCTGTGCCCCGGATGGCCCTGCGGCCTGGACCACAGGCTCCGCCGCGCGTCTGTCTCGAGGAATGACTGGGAGAACGCCCTGCAGTTCCACCGCGGCTCCCGTGCCCCATCCTTCCTGCAGACGGAGACCTCGGTCATCTAGATGGGCGCCCCATTGCAGATGGACGGACGTGGGCAGCCGCAGGCCAGCCTCCCCCGGCGGGAGAGCCCTGGCGGGTGACTCGGGTGACTCCGCAGAGCTGGTCTCTGCCTGTCCCCTCCGTGGAGCTGGGGCTCCGTGGGCACCAGCTGGGACTTCAGTCTGATCCCTGTTAAACGTCAGTATGTAGGCAGTTTTGCTCGTAATGCTGTTTGGCCAAGTAGAGGGACCTGTTTTCAGAGAGAACAGGGAGACAGAAGCGGTCTCTGAAATGGGACACAGTGGCCCAGAACTTGGCTCCATCCACTCCACCCTGGAAGGAAAAAAGGTGGGTTTCTAATGGTGCCAGTTCTGGGCAGGGGGCAAAGGCCTGAGCTGGGGGCTGGAGCCTCCCCCTGCATGACCCCCAGCTCTGGCCTCCCCTGCCCAGTCCTCAGTAGGGCAGCATTCTCATCTGCCAGACACAGGCACAGCGCAGCAGAACCTGCCCCTGCTTGTCCCCACCTGGCCCAGGGCCGCCCCTACCTGCTGGTCCACCAGGAAAAGTGCAGAGAAGGGTGTCAGTTGACAACGGCAGCGAGTGGAGTGTCACCCCGCAAGGGCACCAGAGCCTAATGAGACTCCCCCTGAGACCACGTCGGGCCTCCTCCCCGCACAGGCGTGAGGAGGTTGGGTAACCTGCGGCCCAGCTGGCAGGACCTGGTCATCAGGGCAACTACGACGCCAGGCATTTTATCTGGAGCAGAAAGCTATCCTCCTTTTAATGAAATAATCTTTTAATGAAAATAATTTTAAAGTCCATTTCTGCTTAAATGGAGGTTATTCTAACAAAATATAAAAACGTGTTGAGCGCTTCTGTCCACCATGGCAAACAGCAGCCCCAGTTTCCAGTTCCCCCGATGTCTGCAGATTCGGGAGCTGGTCTGAGTGCTGAGCAGCTGCAGAGAGAGCAGACAGCCGGCCTTGCAGCACCAGACAGACGGACGATCTGCCCAAACCCCGTCCAGCTGCCTCAGCTGCTGCACTCAGCAGTTCGACCCCATTTATGTTCCTGGCGCCCCCAAACCTGAGGCCATGAAGTCTTCTTCCTGAGGCAAAGCCTGGACAAACAGGGACAGCAGAGCAGCTGCGTGCAGAGGTCACCTGAGCTGGGGCCCCCTCCTCAGATGAGTCACTGTCACCAGATCCCCATGACCAGCTGAGAGCCAGACCCGGGTTTACGTGCGGCCATGGGTTGTGCTCAGCCCTGGACGTGCCTCTTCCTTGCTGGTCTGCACCAAGGCCCCGCGGGCGTGGACTGGTCTGTCTTGCCTGGGAAATGGGAGGAGGCCGGGAGAGCCAATGTTTCCTAAGAGCAGAGCGGGGGTCCAAGAGTCAGCACACTGGTCCTAACCTGCTGTAATGTGTGTGGGATGTCCACAATCCCTGTGTGCAGCACTTCAGTAAAACCTAAGTTCCTGTCCAGAGGCTCTAGACTGCTGGTCTGCAGGTCCCAGGCCCTCGGCTCTCACGCAGAGGGCAGACTCACTGTGCTCAGCGGAGGGCCGTCACCGTCCCTGGAGCTCTCCCTGCAGGACCAGCGAGCTGCATGGAGGAAGGAGAGCGGGAGACACATGGCACCTTCAAGGCCCTGGAAGCAGCCACCTCTCCCAGGGAGCTGAGGCCGCCCACCAGGTTGACCTCCTCAGGGCACCCAGGGCAGTGGGAAGTGGCCACCCAGCATCCAGCGGCTCCGGCAGCCACCCTAGCCACCCTAGCCGAGAAGCAGGGGCAGGGCTGACACATATGTGCACGCCCGTGTGTGTCTGCGAGCGCCCCGACCCCATGCGCCTCAGGCCCGTAAGATCTGCGTCAGCACCGTCCGTGCTCAGCCCGTGCTCCCCTCCGGAGGAGCAGGGCATGCCGTGGAAAGCAGACTTGCAGAGCCAGGATGGAGGTCCGCCGGGGAGGAGGGCAGGCTCGGCGCAGCACCGGGTTGCGGGGGACGGTGCCCCCGGGCAGGGAAGGTGGAGAGATCAGGGAGGACCTGGTCCCGACACTCAAGGAGGACAGCGGTATGGGCGTGCGCCCCCCCCACACTGAAGGGGACCCTCTCCACGGCGGGCCTGCTCCTTTCTTAGCAAAAAAGGCAGCTTTTAAGGGGCCTTTTTTCAGGTTTTCAGGTAACAGAGATTATACAGAGGAGTTATAAAAGTTCGAGTATTATAGGGAAATATTACCGACAGTAATCTGTCGAAAAGTCTCTGAATCGCGTCTTCCATCGGCTCCTCTCCCTTCTGGGACTAACAGATCTTCCCGGTGTTTTCCTCTATGTGTGTGCAAACCTCTCCCTCCCCTTCTGCCTTTCTTCTTCTCCACGGAAACGAGGCCGTACTGTGTGGAAGCCTCTGCAACTTGCCTCTTTAGTGAAGACAGGTCGTGTGACTCTGGCCTGTCCACCCACAGACACGCTCCTCACGGTAGGACAGTCCCCGGCCTGGGTTCCCCCGTCCCTCCCTCCCGATACAAGTCGAGGTGTCGCACGAGCATTTGTGCGCACGCCCAGGGATTCCCCCAGAACAGGGTCTCCCACGTGCTGGGCACAGCCAGGCACAGCGGGCCAGCGGCGGGAGGTGCAGCTCCCTCTGTGGCAGATAGGACGGTCCCCACCCACCAACCCCAGCATCACTGACATTTCCTCTCTTCCCAGCCCCAATCTGCCTGCCTCCAGGCATGAGCCACAGGAGCACCTCCCCCTTGGTTCTGCATTAATGCGGAGCCTGACCTCCCATGAGACCCCAACCCCCAGCCCCCCTGGCAGGCATTCCCCCCACCCCACAATGCAGGTCAGCTGCTCTTTTACAAACCGACTTCTTTATTCCTGGGAAATGGGGGCCGAGACTCAGCAGAGACCGTGGGTGGTTTGTGTCAACTGACAAGCACTTAAAGAGGCACCCCTCGGCTTGTGGACCTTACCAAGGACTTAGGGCATCTTTTATACAGAAAAGTGTTCTTTGGAAGATGGAAAGACGCTCGCTTCCTTCATCGTCTCTAAAGGTTTCCTAGGGAAGTAGAGCGGGCAGAGGTGGTCTGCAGATTAGCTCCTCAAAATGAAAAACAGCCCCACCTCCTCCTGTCTCCAGATGCCCTAGATGGAGCCCTGAGCGGAAGGTCAGCAGGTCGTAGCCTGAACACTGACCCCTCAGCTAGCACAGGACCTTTGCTAAAGCTGCTTATGTTCAACACCCAGAACTGAAGAAACAATAGGGGGAAGTAAACAAAACAATGGGATCACGTAGGACCCGCTCTCTGTGTAAAATTCCGGGTTATGCATACCCTCTCCTGGGCTGAAGGTTGTAGGTGATCAAGTCAAAGACAGCAGTCTATAAACTGGACACCTTCGAAACACAAGATTTTATAGTTTAAATAATTATAATTATGAATCTAGAATATGCAAATTTTGTTATTTTGCAATTCACAATGTAAATAACTACAATTCCTTTCTGATTTGAAAACACACTCCACTAAAGCCTCATTTCAAGGTCACTCATAATTCTGCAGAGTTTCACGCAGCTTGAGTAGATTACCGTCTCCCAAGTCTGTCAACCTGCAGTGAGAAAACCCTTATCTATTATTAGCTCTATGGAAGCTGGAGGTACGTAGGACATGATCTCTGCACACTTAATTCCAGTTTTCGTGTATGAAACATGCACGCACACACACACACACGCTTGGATAGGATGCGTTCCCATGGGTGCACTCCTGCCTGCCTCCCTGCTGCTGTCTGGGTAGGATTTTGTCTGGCTTCACACACGCTTCTCTTTTCTCCCTCCTTGTCAGACAGCCTCTGGGGCTCTGAGATGGGGGACCTGCACTCCAGGCCTTCCCCTGGGCGGCGTTGATGACCCAGCTCAGGCGCAGCTCCACGCTGAGAGCGAGAACTAAGGGAGAAAGGAGACTGGGAGCTACCACCACATACAAGGGGCCTCTGTGGTGTAAGAAAACGCATGAACTGCTCAAATTCCTGGGGATGCACAGATCGTGCTTTTGATCACATGTCGCACTTCCCTGGGAATGAGACCACGGACTGTGGATCGATAACGTGTATCTGGTCTGCACTGTGTCCGAACCCCCATGTCCACTGTCCGCCTGTCCATCTGGCCATGTGACCGCTCATGGCTCTGCAAGACAAGAGTTCAGCAAGGCAAAGAGGGTTTTGAGGAAAAGACAGGCGTTAAATGAGGTTACAGGGGATATGTGGGATTTATAAAAGGGAACAACTTGAAAATAGGGCGATGTGGCTAATGCAGCTTGCCAAGGGGCTCCGCTCTGCTGCGTCCAGGAAGGCAGCAGGAGGTGCGGTCAGACGGACAGGCTCCAGACGCCCCTAGTAGATGAAACGGGCTTTCTTCTGAAGACTGGGAGCTTCCCAAGGCTTTTGAGCTGGGGAATGACGAGGCTGAGGCTGTGTTTCAGAGGCGAACTGATGGCTGGGAAAGAGGCAGTGTCGTGGAGCATCTGTGAGCTTGGTCTGCACAGGACAGGAAGGAGGGCACTGGCTATTGAGGCCAGGAGCCGGGGAGCCACACCCGTGGTGGGACAGTTTGCTAAGAGGCAACACCGGGATCACAGGAGAGTCCCCGGAGGCCCACATGACAGTGAAGCACACTGTGGGCCAGAGGTCACCGCGTTCACGCCGTTTACTCTGACACTTTCAGAATAAAATGAAAGTGAGGCTTTCTCAAATAGTAGTCTGGCTGACAGATTAGCAGCCTGCAGTTCCTCCTGTCCTGCGGGAGTTTTTCTGAGAAAGGAGGGTGTCCGAGGGCCAGGTGGGAGAGAGGCTCTCCCTCCATTCTCCTCTGTTGACACAACAGCATCTCAAACCCACTCACATCATCAGAGACATGGAGGAGAGACACTGGGGATCGCGTGGGTTTGTACAACCCCAAGCCAAGCTGATTCTGAACGTGCTTTCGGTGATGTAAGAAACCACAAAGAAAGAGATCTACTCAACTAGATTCAGGCCGAAACAAAGAAAGAGCATCCAGAACGAATCTGAGTCAAACCCAGCGAGCAATTCTGGGCACCACGGGGTCTCCAGCTCAACAGACCATAGCTCAAACCTGGGACCCCGATGCGACCACCCTCCCTGACCTACACTCGCTGTCAAGCTAGATACACAATAGGCTCCCGTAAGCAACGTCAAAATGTGTGTTTATAGAAGTTAAACCCCAGAATCCTATTTGGGGCATTAGGGGTATGTGGGGCTGTGAGGGGAGGGTCTGTCAGTGAGAATTACCCTCCAGATTCAGTAGCTAAAGTTAAGGTCAGATTGCCAGGCCGATGTCAGGAATCGCGAAGTCAAGACAGAGGCAGCCAGGGGTGGAGGGGAGGTCACAGCCCACAG